ACTGCGTTCTTTATTTATACAAGCTTGTGTGTGTACAAAGGTAACAAAGTTATTCCGGGAACTCAGAGCTGAGGTTCCTCTTCTCTAAGTCTGTTCCCAGAAAACAGGAAGCGGTTAGTTGCTAAATAAGTTTATCACACAAGAGTTTATGTGAAAAGTCATGTAGACATGTGGATTGCTTAGTGATCCATAAAATCCAGCATATTTCATGTAGCTGGATACACTATGTACAATTTTCCTTTGACAGAAACCTAACTCAGCTCTCAGAACAAGCTGTGGGTTTCTGGGTCTGATGTTATGTCTTCATGTGCCAACTCTCCTCTCTAGCTGTTTGTCTTTACTGATGGAGAGGTGGGAAACACCAAAGAAGTGATAGATCTGGTGAAGAAGAACTCAGATTCCCACAGGTGAAACCACAAACCCACAACTATATCTACACAATACATGTCCTCTGTGTACTTAAAGAAAACTGTTGTATTGCAGGTGTTTCTCTTTTGGGATTGGGGAAGGGGCCAGCTCTGCTCTCATCAATGGGATGGCAAAGGAAGGAGAAGGTCATGCTCAGTTCATCACAGGGACTGACAGGATGCAAGCAAAAGTAAGACATTAAACACAATTAGAAGTCACATTAAACATTGCAGCAGATCCATATTTGTTATATGTATAGGATGTATATTTGGAGAGTTTTTCATTATTTTTCAGGTGATGCAGTCGCTGCGATTTGCTCTGCAGCCGACTGTGGTCGACATCTCAGTCACATGGGATTTACCAAAGGAAGTGTCTGTCACTGTCCTCTCTCCACCAATCACAGCACTTTTCCAGGGTCAAAGGTCACTGATTTATGCCCAGCTTACTGGACAGGTAAGAGCAGCATCTTCTCGTTTTGTTGTTTAGGTATTTGATGATAGTAATTAACGTGACTTCTGACCCTGTGATTCTGTGTCAGAGCTCAGAGGCAGCAGAGGGCTGTGTGACGGTGAAGTACAGCCTGGCAGGTCATCCCTCTGAGAACCAGCTGCACTTCAGTCTCAGACCTGCAGAGGACACTGGGTAAAACAGAGTTTAATAACAACAGCACCCTTTTGGTTTGGTTTACTTTATTTAAGATGGACAAACATATTACTGTGCATATCTTTGATATTTTTATGACCTGGTTTTACCACATCCTTTTTTTCCATCTATACATCATTAGAAACAATGATGAATTACAGTGTATTTCTATGTTTGATATTCTGACAATAGGGTTTACT